CAYAWAAAWAWAWAGAGATATTATGTCCAGCTACAACTAAAAAATTAAAATACTCTTTTAACAGCTTTATTAGGAAACCACAGGTTAGAAATCTTTAAACTGTCAAGCCAAAGTAAAGAAATTCATACTTTTAAAATCTACAAATTAAAGTACACATAAAATACATAAAGATATTGTGTGTTCATCTACAACTAAATATATATTTTTTTTTAATTTTAACCCAAAAAGCAGCTTCTAAAATGTATTCAAATCCTTATAAATCTGTGATATAAAACAAAAGGCCAACAAATTAATGTATGTCAAGTGTCCAGTTGACCACTGGTATAACTCGATTAACTGCAAGTAAATGTCATTTATTACAACAAGGACATTTAAAGCATGATCCTGTTTCCTTTCCTATTTTTTGAGATATAGTCTTATTATAGGAACTTCAGGATCATCATGCCTCAGTCTCCTGAGAGGCAGGGATCACAGTGCTGGCCTTTTTCTTCTATTCTTAACATTATCRCCCCTAAAATATAACTAAACTTATGGACCTCACTTAAAAGGGGGCAAAGACAACTAAATATAAAAACGCCACCCCTCCCCATTATAAATAGGGAGTTAGGAAATGCATAAAGTCTGGTAAGTAAATTTATTGATGATGGGACAAAGCGTGTGAAGGATGAGGGGACAGGAATGTGACCAAAAAAAGATGGCGTTGACTACCTTTAAGTTTGCCTTTTTATATAGTTCTGACTTTTAGAAAAATACTAATAGTATACATAATCTTAAAACAAAATTAAGACAACAGAAAAAGCTGACTCCCAAGCACCCTTTCTTTAAGGCAATGAATCTACCTACGAGGGAGCAGCCCAGCAGCCTACTGAGACCCCCTCCCCACACGTGGCAGTTAGGCTGCAGTGTGAGCTGTGGAGAGACAGGCATTCAGACCACAGCAACAGGGCACCAGAGGCAAGTATTTAGCAAATAAACAAAAAGCTGTTCAAAACCATCAAGTCATTAAGGAAAAGGCAAACTAGAGCCACATGAGATGCCATTCACATTATCCATTAAGACATTGAAAATACTGAATGTGGCGGAACTGGAACTCTGTGCTGCTGGTGAGAGTATGAAATAACAGTACCATTTTGGGGAAAACGTCTGACAGTTTCCAACAATGTGTCATACCCATGGAATGGCATACAATTCAGCAATAAAAAGGAACAATAAACATGAGAACACAAATGAATCTCAAAATAATTAAGRTTGAGGAAAAGAGTTACAATATGGAAAGGATTTTAGAAAAATTCTAAGGTGCCAAACTGATAATAAAACAGTATGAATTTTTGGTTTGCAGATCAACTAAACTACATCTGTGGCATACATGCACGTATGCACTTATTTCTCACAGCCATCCAACAAGAGGGTCTTGAAGGAATGACAAACAGAGTACATCAGTTCCCAGATGTGGTTTCTGAATACCATTCTCCAATAAAAGAAACCAGTGCTCCTTGAAGAAGTGGTTTATACAAGGCTAGGAGAGCAATACTAGAAAACTCTACAATATTTTGTTATGTGACAAAGTCTGAAGACATTCAAAGAACAATGAGACCTCTCTCCCATAGGGAAATTCCACAACAACTTGAGCAATAAAATAAATGAGAGTGATAAAATAACAACCTATGAGTCTATACTGAYATAAATAAAACGACAGATAAATGAAAGAAAGCCGGAGGCAAAATGACCAGAGAGAGAATCAAGCTGTGTGAAGGCTTATCACTGTGTGAGGTAAGTACCACAGTCAGCATGACACTGGCAAAAGAGGACACAGATCAGGGCAACAGAAGAGTCCAGAAACAGACCATGTAAATATGTTTGACTGACTTGTAACAAAGGTCAAAGGTWCAAAAAGAATTCAGGGGAGAAAAAATTAAAAGAGTATTTGGAGGGCTGGGGTTGTGACTCAGTGGTAGAGCACTTGCCTAGCATCCCTGGGTTCAAGTCTCAGCACCACAAATAAATAAATAAAATAAAGGTCCATTGACAACTAAAAAAAAAATATTTTTTTTTTAAAAAGAGTATTTGAACAACTGGATCTCCATATGCAAAAGTGAATCTCAATTTTTACTCCACATCTTGACATTTTTATTCAAAAGGATATTATAGAAAAACATAAAATTATGAAATTATGAAACTTATGAAAAAACATAGGAAAAAATCTTCATAAACGTGGTTTAGGAAAACTGTTCCTAGTTATGACATCAAGAGTATAATTCAGTAAATTGTGCTTAATTTAATAACTTGCTCTCTAAAATACACTGTTGAGATACCCTGTAAAAACAGRCATGTGTCACACACCTGACAAAGGACTGCATCCAGAATATATGAAGAACTTTCAAACTCAACAGTAAAATAACACACACACACCCCACCTTTGGTATGAGGGATTGAACTCAGGGGCACTCGACCACTGAGCCATATCCCCAGTCCTACTTTGTGTTTTATTTAGAGACAGGGTCTCACTGATTTGCTCAGGGCCTCCCTTCTGCTGAGGCTGGCTTTGAACTCACTATCCTCCTGTCTTAGCCTGCAGAGCTACTGGGATTTTAGGAGTGCACCACTGCGCCTGGCCCATTTTTAATATACTGGCAAAGATTTGTAGACGGGGTATCACACAAAAACATGTTCAACACCATCAATTATCAGGAAAATGTAAATCCAACACAACGAGTAAGCACCACATGCTACAAGAACTTCTATAGCCAAAGACAGGTGACACTAGGTGCTGACAAAACCAAGAGGAACTGACATGCTCAYGAATGACAGAACCACTCTGGAAAGCAGCACCTTTCAAAAAAAATAAACTATCCACCAAGTGACTGGCCCAGGAACCTCACACTTGGGTACAAACCCTTACAGCGTTAGTGTGCCTTAGCTCCATTTACCATCAACTACTCAGACATCCTTCTGAGAGGAAATGGAACAATGGTACCTGAAGAGTACACAGCAGTAAAAACAAAGGAGCTGTTCACTCACGCAGCGACACAGACACATCTCCCCAGCACCATCCTGGTAATGGCAAGCCGCCTCGTGGGTTACTTCTACATCCATCCATTCACAGGACACTCTGAAAGGGTCCAACTAGACAGAGGGCAGGCCAAGGTTACAGGACAGAGGTGCAGGAGGGTCAGGGCAAGCAGAGCTAATCTTCTGAGGACATGGACTATATACCAAAAGTAGGTCAATCTTTCTATATGTAAACTGAAAACTAGAAATAAAATTAAAAGGRAACAATGTCATAGAAACATAGAACAATGTCATAGCTGTTGTCTGTCTGAAGTAGACAATCAAGTGCTAAAGAACACAGAACATGAACAGAGCCCTACCGAGAGCAACCAGAGGACCTAGGGAAACTGAAATCACCCAGTGCCATCCACAGAGATGAAAGGGGTTTGCGCTGTGGGTAGGAATGACRGGGAGCAGGAAAGCAAAAGGAGGGTGACCCTACAGCTGGCAATTCCAAGTACACGTGACAGCCATGTTTTCCACATGCTGCTCAGACCTATGAAAATTTATTGAGTCCCAATCAGCATTTTTTATTTGAGAGAGAGAGAGAATTTTAATATTTATTTTTTTAGTTTTCGGCGGACACAACATCTTTGTATGTGGTGCTGAGGATYGATCCCGGGCCGCACGCATGCCAGGCRAGCGCGCTACCGCTTGAGCCACATCCCCAGCCCCCCAATCAGCATATTTTTTAAAGAACAAGAATGAAAAATAGCGTACAATTTCATTTAGTGTGTGTACGAACTATAGGTGGAGGTTTTATTCCAAGACTGAAAGTCTCTGCCCTGGAGACTCATTAAGACATGGCTTGGAACAATAATGTGCTGCTCAGTTTGGTTTTTGTTTTATCTTCTTTTTTGAAATCAGGTGTCATTATGTCCAAGCTGCTCTCCAAGGCCTGAGCCAAAGCCCCCCGCCCACTTCAGCAGCCAGGAAGCTTCAACCTCCCAAGTAGTTCGGACCTAGGGTGTGTGTTTTCTGTGTCAGCTTGGCTAGATAAGGTTATTTAACCAAACACTGGTAACACAGGCATTGCTATCAAAGTGTTTAGTAGATAGGATTAACATCTTTAATCAGCTGAGTGTTTAAGAAAATTACCCACTGAACCTTATCATGTCCAAAGAAACCTTTATGAGCAAAATCTGAGATTCTATCTATCTAGCACTAGGGATTTAATTCAGAACACTTTACCACTGAGCTACATTCCCAGCCCTTTTTATTTWATTATTATTATTTTTTATTTTRAAATGGTTTCACTAATTGCTGAGGCTGGCTTTGAACTTGTGATCCTCCTACTTCAGCCTCCCAGTTTGCTAGGTATGTTCCACAGTGCCCAGTGGTAAAACTGACATTTTAAGGGAAGCAACTGAGACTGAAGTGTCAACTCCTCACAGCAGGCCTGCCCTAAATATTTCAGA